TTGTTAGAGAGATCCCCTCTAATCAACTTGGTGGGACCCACATTTAAGTGGCAATTAATATGGAAAGAAAGATGGCTAAGATATATTTCTTTGTAAGTGGATTTAATCCCTTGGCATGCCAATCCCATTTGGTAGCGCTATACACATGTTGCGTAATCACCCAATTGTCATTCCAAACCCCGACCTTTAGGTGGTAGCAAAACGACAAATCAGCGAAAAATCTTCTCAAACTCATGTGGCGGGTTTGGATTAAATTGTATTGACATTTAAAGGTTCTTAAGTGACAAAATAAAAAGAGAAATGACACTTGGCTAATTGATATGAAATGAAGAATCACTAACTAGCTAATTGATATGGTATTTCCTTTGATCTTATGTGGGCCCTCCACCAAATCATAAAAGATTGATCCTATGGCCTAACTTGTGGGGACCAATTAGATCTTAGTAAGATGTCCCCATTAATAAATTGTCAATGATTGATTAGGATTGATAAGAGAGAATCACGTTAATAGCTGGAGGATCTAGTGGGACCCATTTAATGGAGATTAATGTGCAATATTGCCTAATTGATGATTTGGTAAGAGAAAACTAAGGTTGGCCAACAAATCTCTTGAAGATCACTAATGGCATTCCCTTTTATAACGAGGATTTCAAAATTGAAATAGGGAGGGCTTTTCAAACGTATACATCTACTATAAAATGGAGAGGAGAGCAAGGAAACTCCCTCTAGGAGAGGTGACCGAGAGGATGAAGAGAGTTGGTTCGTCTACAGAAAAGAGAAGATAAAAAAATAATAATAAGAGAAGGAAGGGAGAAGACAGAAGAATTTGGAAGAAGTCTAGCTCATGAGCCGATGCTGAACTGTTGAAGTTTCAAATTAAATGTTGTTAGCCATGTGCATGTTGAAAGATTTTCAACTAAAATCATTCTCTCCTCTTCGGCTCTCTCCAGCAAATCCCAACCAGAAATTTGGCTTCTCAACTGTTGAAGCTTCAAAACTACTGCAGTCTTGTGTCATGCGAATCGAAGAATTTGGTCCTTTGAGTTGTTGTACTCAAGGAAAGCTCCCATCAAATTACAAGGGACATCCTATCATTAAAGTCGTCAAGCTTTACGGGTCTTGTCCGTGACAAGCTACAAATGCAAGTTCAATCGTGTCAGAGGGTATTCTTCAAAGAAAAAGAGAGTTTGTATCCCATTTAAATTTCTGCAAAAATAAATAAATTTCTTTGAATGTATCCGCATTAATTTTTTGTGCTCCAAATTTAGCGCAAAATTTGTGTTGACACCTACAACTTGAACAAAAAGTGAACACTCAAAATGAAAACTTGGCAAATGGGAATCACTTTCCCATTGACCAACTTTCCTCCTCCCCTTTTACCAAAAACAAATGGGCCTTAATGGGATCAATTCGAATTTGAATTTGGACAACGAGAGACACCATTTGTTACCCTTATGGAATCCCCTAGCAGGACGACTCTGTAATTCCATATTTCCTCCTTATAGAATTCTCCTCACACCCATCTCATAGCAGTTGCAGTTCTGCATTAGGAATATCTCCCCATGAATGTAAACTGCTATTCCGCAACGTAGAAGTGGGTGTGAGGAGAACATCCAAACTCCAAGACGGATTGCATGAGAAACTTCCCGGCATTACCCACACGTACCTCAATCCAAACAAACCACCAGATCTGCATTGTTGGCAGCCCAATTCATCAAAGATGGAAACATGTTTTGTGAGGCAAAAAAAAAAAACTGTATATGCTCAAAAAAATTGTACAATTGTATGTACAATATGAGACACATATATTACAACAAAAGAAACTAAAAAGAAGTGATAAGAGAAATGTTCAAAAAACTAAACAGGGCACAGAATCGAAGAAGGGAGGTTCATGGGTCAAAGGTTCAACTGCGGTCGAACCCTGATGACATAGCCCATACATATATATACTATAGTAGGGGTGAGCATTAATTGGTTAAAACCAAAAAAACAAATTGAAAATTTTAGTTTCGGTTTTAAAATTAGAAATTTGGTTAACTGAATAAACCAAATAAACCGAACTTTGGTATATAATATGTAAATATATTATATATTATATAATATATAATATAATGAAATTTGATTTTATAATATAGTATATATTATTAAAATTCGGTTTTAATAAAAAACTGAAACAAAATTTTGATTTCAGTTATTTTGTTTTTTATATAATTCGGTTCCAGTTTGGTTTTTATTTTTTAATTCAGTTTTTAAAATTCTGAATTATTCGGTTCAGTTTTCAACTGAATAAACCAAATGCTCACCCTTATACTATGGGTCATATAAATACTATATATAATATATTTTACAACTTTTGATATATTTAAATATGGTGGACGGATAACAAGTTCCTTAATTTTTAAAGTAAATGACTAGGGTTCAAGTTTCTTAATTTACATTTTCTTTAAAATACGTGCATAATAAAATAATATGTACAATAACACTCATTAATTAGCATAAATAATGAGGTGGATTAATGGTAATTAAGCAATATATGAAAATAAGACTTATGGGTTCAAAGTACTTTTATACACATTTTAAAATTTAATTATTTTAGGACCTAGATAGTTTCATGAAACAGGGACCGATTCATCGATTTTTTGGTTAAACCAGTCAATTGACCTAATTTCACTAGATTTTTAGCAAATACGATTATTGGGTGTAACCAAACCAGTCATGGTCTTGGGTCACAAGTCAACTGGTCTGGTCCGACTTCTTAAATACTAGATAAGAGAGAGAGAGAGAGAGAGAGAGGCGTTAGTTGTTTTCTCTTATTTTGATCCCCATAATTGTGTTAAAACACTTGAATGTGGGGGCTTCCTTATATTTATCATCGTGCACCCCATTTTGACCGTTACACTCACTTTGCTGGGAGTTCAAATAGGCACCCCACAAAGCACACCCCACAAACCCCTCACATGCACATCTCAGGATGCATTAGGAACATCTCTGGCCCATACTTGTCATGGAAAGATATTCCTTGGTTGGAGCAGCAAATTAAGGTTGTGCTTAGTATCATTGTTGCTTCTTCTAGAAAAAAAAAAAAAAGATTTATCAATACAATTTTTTTTTATAAAATATGCCATTGTTTACATATAAAAAGTTCAATTTTTAGTATTAAATGCAATTACCATTGCCACTTCTCGATGAAATGCCACTTGATGTTTCTATGATAAATGCCAAACATTAATCCATTGCATACATTTTTTTTCACTTTTTAGTGGAAATGGTTATCTAATATGATGTGACAAGGTAATCTCTACTATTATAAAAAGTAAGAATGAAGGTGTGGAATTTTTTTTGACTAAAATGTCCATAATTCCGTATTTAGTACATCTCCAATTATGAGGGTTGAAAATATAATTTCAATTAATTCTTTTCACTTCATTTAATCAACTCTCATTAAGTCTTATATTTAAGGTATTAACTCTTATTCTCACTTATTAAATCCTATATTTAAGTTATTTTTTCACTAATAAATGCTACTTACTAGATCTATATATATATATATATATATATAAACATTTTTGCAATTTATAACATATATAAAAAACACTTCAATATTTATGGGCCAGACAAAAAAGTAAAAAACCAATAAGTCAAATCAAATTCCAGTAGTTTTTCTTAGTGTTTTAAGAGAGTTCAGTCCAAAAGGATTAATCAAGTTATTAGTTTCGTTTGGATAAATCAAGTGAGATTTTTCTTATTATTCTGAATGTAATGTCCCAAATTTGTTATTTTTCTCATTTCTTCTATCAATGGGTCATTTTTCTTTATAATAATAAGTTGTTTCATTTCTTTTAAATTGGTTTTTTACATGAAATGAAAAATATTTATAATTGTTATTTGATTAGTTATTATTTTATCTAATGCTTAAATGCCAAAACTTATTGCTTATAAACCTCTAGTTTATGGATATATATACTTTTTATCATTTCTATTTGGCATATTATATGTTATTTTCATCAATTTACAAAATTTAATTAATATTTTTTCCTAAACTTTTAGGCTTACACCTCGCCTTCTTAGGCCATTACACTTCAACTACACCTTTGACCTTTTAAAACCTTGATAATGAAAAACAAAAATATAAAAAATACATGAATTTTATAGAAAAATTGGATACATTATTACTATCATTATCATCATCTAGAATTGCCATGTAGTGCACACTTACTAATTTCTACAAAATTTGTATTGATAAACTACAAACCTTTCTAGTAGAAACAACAATGATACCAAACAGAACCTCAGAGTTCGAAAGCGAAGAACATGGATGTGGTTCCGTGTTTGAACACTCAACATATCTCATTTGGTCTGAGTCGTAGTCCATAGGTCTTTTTTTTTTTTTTTTGATAAAACCAGAAAAGGCTACACAGAGACTCAGGATTTGACTTGATCAAAGAGGTTAATTAAGGCTTCATTTGGCTTTCCTTATTTTAATTATCTATCTCCTTTTTATTGTTAAAAACTAAGTATTCATAGGAATGTTAACTAAGTGTTCATAGGAACATTTTAATTGCAAAAAGAAGATGAATGCTTAAAATAAAGAATGGCAAATGCAGCCTAAGAGGTTTTGCTTGGGCCCAGGTGAATGGCTCACACGCGTTAGTTCGGATCAGGTAAGCGCAATGTTGTAAGCACGTTAAATAAACACTTGGAATTTTTTTGACACTTGTTCCTTAAAAATACCTCTAACCTATTCTTGAAAAAGATTAATACCCACTTTTTAAGAGTTGTGTTCATTTAACGTGCTTACTAGATCCGGTCCCACACGCGTCCCCGCCAACACCCACTACGTCCCGCACCCTTATTATTTCGGCCAAAGCTAGCGGCAATTAATATTAATTAGTTCTAATCAAAATTTTAAGAGCCGGACACGACACAGGATTTTGAAAAATAATGATGAGAGAGGCTCCAAGAAATTATTAGAAATAATAGATTTATATTTATATCCAAATTAAATTGTTGGTTCTTGAACAAAAACTAGAGCATCGCAACTCTAGAGATGATCAAGAAGAGCAGCTACAAGAGATTGAATACAGTGGAACGAATTAATTAAATAGAAAAGAGCTCCATCAGTAAAGTAGTTCCTCTTCGCAGTTGCAGGGTTGGATCAGAGGTCCTAATTAATTTAATTAATTGTCGGCTTTGTCTGAAGCCTTCTCCTTGGCATCTTCCACCTTGTCTTTTGCTTTATTGTAAGCATCAGCTGCCTTGTCTTTCATATCACCAGCCTTTCCCTTTGCGTCCTCCATGCTTCCTTTGGCTTTCTCTTTCAAATCGTCTGCCTTTCCCTTTGCGTCCTCCATGCTTCCTTTGGCTTTCTCTTTCAAATCGTCTGCCTTTCCCTTTGCGTCCTCCATGCTTCCTTTGACTTTCTCTTTCAAATCGTCTGCCTTTCCCTTTGCGTCCTCCNAATCGTCTGCCTTTCCCTTTGCGTCCTCCATGCTTCCTTTGACTTTCTCTTTCAAATCGTCTGCCTTTCCCTTTGCGTCCTCCATGCTTCCTTTGGCTTTCTCTTTCAATTCGTCAGCCTTTCCCTTTGCGTCCTCCATGCTTCCTTTGGCCTTCTCTTTCAATTCGTCAGCCTTTCCCTTTGCGTCCTCAAAGCTTCCTTTGGCTTTCTCTTTCATGTCGTCAGCCTTTTCCTTTGCTTCCTTAATTTTGTCTTTAACGACCTCCTTCACTTCCTCAGCTTTCTTCTTAATTTTCTCATGGTGTTCCTTTCCGTCCTTCATTTTTTCTGAAACTTCGTTTTTCATCTTCTCAACTTTCTCTTTAACATCTTTATCACCGTCTTCCTTTTCTTCCTTAGAGCCCTTTTTCTCATCCTCGTCTTTTTCCTCTTCATCGTCTGCAAACCCAGAATTATATTAATTAGGGGCATATATCAATTGTTTTTCTTTTTCTTAGTTAGTTGTGATTTCCATTCCAACATCAATTAATTAAAAACCTGTACTTTGAATTTTGAAAGACATGATGTACTCAGAACCATGCCAAACCAATTAGCAGTGTGTAAATGGAGATGAAGATTAATTACCGGTAGCAGTAATGCGTTGCACAGTGTTCAAATGTTCTACTGCACCCGCTGGTGGCACCTCCTTGTCTTCCTCCTTGTCTTTACCAAACCACGAACTGAAATTTAAAGGTGAAAGCGCCACCAAAATATATCAACCAAAAAAACTTCAAACAAATTATAAAAGAAATTAAGGAAGAAGAGGAGGGATGGATGGATTGATCAATGTCATACTCGGAAGAGAAAATTTTATCTTTAGCCCATTGGGTCCATGTGTCGCCCTTCTCCTTTGCCTCTTCCACTTTGTCTGCCGCTTCCTTCTCAGCATCCTCCACCGTGGTCGGCGCTGTCTCCTCGCCCAAACAAATATTAGTCACCGCCAGCATGACTGCCATCCATATAATCACGATTGCAATTCTTTTCGCCATTTTTTCTTTTTCTCTGTATCTCGATCCCTTGCAAGTATGAATGAATCAATGAGAACCACGACCAAACTGTTTCTGCTCTCTCCTATATATACATTTGCAAGTGAAAGATGGGAAGAACGGAACCACGAAAAAGGCCGGACAGTTAGTGCAGAAGCTTGCCACGCGGACATTCCAGACTCCAGAGGTATAGGAAGAGTTTTGACCAATTAAAATTCACTCATGAATTTTGATAAATAACACCTGATTGAAGTTTTTCAAATATCATATTTTTTCCATATCATAGTCATACCCTGTTTCAGATAGTTTTGTTTGTCCGTTTCTTTTGCACACGAAATAACGAATACGATACGACTTCTTCTTTCCCCACCAATTTTGGCGAATCGCAGTTTCGGTTTGTATTATATTAATAATAATAATAAAATCTTTGACCAATCAGAAGCCCATGTATATAACATTGAATGAATACCGGTTGGATGGTTATTAGTTTCTACTTACTACGTTATTTATCTTTTCAATAATTTCACTTATATTGATGAATTTGCTCGCTAAGCCGATGCATATTTATTACGATGATTGATACATATTTATCGATTCAAGGATCAAAGTATTGATATCGTGTATTATATTGGATAAATCAGATATGGATAAAAATGTTTGAATATGTTAAAAAAATATATGTAAATCTCACAAATATAATAATAATAATAACATTAAATTTAAGGTCAAGTAACATGTATAAATACATAGGGAATATATATTTAATGATACATATGAAAATATATTGTAGTTAACATAGCGGAATGCATAGATATCATACAATATTAATTTTATTGATAACGCATTAATCAAGAATCCAAGACAAAACATAATATTATATTTTAATTATTATCTCAATTTCTTATTTGTAAGATTATCAAAAAAGTCAATTAAATATAAATTAAAATTTTATAAAAATATAATCTTAACTTATAATATATCAAATTTGTTAAAATTTCTAAGATACTAAAATAATTGTTCCATTATTAAAATCTTTATTTGTATAGATGTTTTGAAATAAAGATTCATTTTTGATAAAATCGTAAATTAGTATATTTGATAGATTCAATTTAATATTAAACTCTTGAATATTTGTAAATAATAAATATATTATTATTTGATGCAAATTAAAATGCTAATTAATAATTTATAAGGATATATAAAAAAATTAAGATAATATTGATGGTGTGCAATCTAGATACTCCTAGCTGGAAGATGATCCAATCTTCAGTTGCACGGCGAGCTAGACCAAGCTACAAAATAATAGATCAGAGAACCCGGGGTGGCTAACCCGGCTAGGTCGCTTCGATGCTTAAGTCAGTTCTATACTGTGGATGCAAGCTGAATACTTGAATGCTTAAATGCTAGTGAGTAAATAATTATGCGTACCTTCGCCTTAAATACTAGTGAGTAGTCGTGGAACTTACGAAAGAGCTTCGGGATCTCAGAGTTGTGCGGATAAGATCTGTTCTGATTTTGAAGGAGAGCAATGCGTTAGTTGATAAGGTTTAATGTTTTCCTCTAGTTCAGGTGGAGCTAGGATGAGTTTCGTCGTGATACCGAGAAATTCGGGGTCCGTTGGGGAGGCCTTTGGAGTCAATTATGTGGCGTTTCGGCTCTTTAGCTCCGAACTGGTACTTCGGTTCTTTAGTCCCGAATTGGATTGGGTGTCGAGGTGTCTCTATGTCGAGGTGGTTTTTGGGCTGAGGTGACTGAACGCCCGAGCTCCGATTGTTGCGGATTGGGTTCCTTTGGCTGACCCCTTCTTACTAGGTCGTGCCAAATCACCCCTCATCAATTGCCCCCCACTCCTCGTGCCAGGGATCCTAACCCGGTGCGGGGAGTTCATGACGAGTCCAGGTGGGTTTGGCACAAAGTCTAGGCGACTTGAAGGGTGGACCGTTGGTCGGACCGGTTCAATCATCTGGCATAACCATGAAATGACCCAAGTCGCGTCTTGGTCACGCACGGACATCACACTGTTTATAAATTCCGCGGATGCCAAAGGGCGCGCTCAACCGATTTCGTCCCCGGGTGGCATGTAGTCGGTTATCATGGGAGACATCGGATTGCACAGATCCCAACCGTCAATTGCCGGGTGTGATGGATTATAAGTAGGGGCCGAAGGGCCCATTATCCTCGCCAAAAATCGTGTAACTAAGCTTTCTTGAGATCGTGTCGGAGTCCTTCAGCTCGCCATTCTATCCCCTTGTGTCTGAGGTCGTTATAGCCTTCTTTGGTGAGTTCGTCTTCTTTCACTGGTTGTTCCCTTTTCCTTTTCCTGTCCAATATGTCTAGTGCTAGCATATATAGGTTACTTAGTGATTCTTGCGAGCACGAGGGTGTCGAGGTGCGGTTCAGCTCCTGCTGGTGAGGCCAGCACTTCGCTAGAAAGCTTCTCTTTAAACCTTTTAGGAGAAATGCCTTTACCTGATGTCGGGCCATCTCGGCTTGAGGAACCTGAACCTTAGGTAGAGCGGCCGACCTCCGGAGAGGGGGTCTCGTCTTCTACTCGAGGTTGGGATCCGGACAACTTCCGCCCTTCCACGATGACCTTGGACAGTTGTTATCCTTGATAGCTCGTTACCGTCTCCCTGACACTCTTGTCTTCAGCATTCCTTTGCGTCAGTACCCTTGGGTCCATGACCATTACGAACTCGCGATTTTTGAGGAGCAGCTCGTAACTGGGCTGCACTTCCCGCTCCACCCCTTCATCGTAGAAATTATTAAGTTTTTTAATGTACTACTGATCAGCTACACCCGAACTCCATCCATATTATTGTTGGTACAATCTCACTCTTCCACGAGTATAACCGACCTCTCACCCTAGACATCCTTAGCTCAATTTGTTCCAGTAAGAAAAATTCTTCTTGCTTGCACAGGTACATAAGTAGTACCTTCTAGGAGTGACTCACAGTCCTCTCTCCAGTCGGTCGTCTTTTTTGACCAGTTCGGTGGTCACATAGACTTAGAGAAATTTTTCTTTGGAGTCACGGGCTCATAAGTAGTACCTTCTTAGGTTATTGATGTTCCATTTTCAAGGTACCTGCTTCCCTTCCAATTGTCTCGAGCTCATATGTGCCTTCCCCGAACACCCGCCTTACACGGTTCAGACCTTCCAAATTCGCTCTGAGCTTACCTACGCCGGGCTCAGGTACCATAACTTTCTGGAGAACCAGGTCGTTGACACGAAATTGTTATTTTCTGACACGGGCGTTATAGTACCGAGCTATTCTCTACTAGTAGACCGCGATCCGAATGTAAGCCAGGTATCACACCTCCTCTACTAGGTCCAAGTTGGTACGAAGCTCGTCATCGTTTGTTTCCTCATCATAAACCTCAAATCGCAATGTGGGTACCTCGATCTCTGCCAGGATCACCGCCTCTGTGCCATACATGAGGTTGAAGGGGGTCTCACCCGTCGAGGTCTTGATAGTAGTTCGGTAGGCCCAAAGGACATTGGGCAGTTCGTCCACCCACAATCCCTTTGCTCGAGTTAATCGACCTTTTAATCCGCGAAGTATCGCCCTGTTAGTTACTTCTGCTTGTCCGTTCGCTTGGGGGTGTGCCACTGAGGTAAAGTTTTGCTGAATCCCCATCTCAGCACACCAGTTTTAAAACTTAACATCTTCGAACTGCTTCCCATTGTTGGATATCAACACCCGAGGTAGTCCAAAATGGCATACTATGCTTTTCCAAAAGAAAATTTGTATGTTATGAGTTGTGATTGTTACCAGGGGTTCGGCTTCCACCTACTTCGTAAAATAATCTACTGCTACAAGCAAGAACCTCCTCTACCCTGTTGCTTGCGGGAAAGGACCAAGGATGTTGATTCCCCATTGCGCGAAGGGTCACGGGCTGGTGAGGTATTTCAAATCAGCAGCTGGTTAGTGGTGGATGTTGGCATGCCTCTGACATTTGTCACACTTTTTGACGAGCTCGAGTGCATCTGCCTTCATTGTGGGCCAATAATAGCATTGCCTTAACACTTTCTGTGTGAGGGCTCTGCCCCCCAAGTGTCCACCGCACAAGCCTTCATGGGTGTTGCAAAGTACGTGCTCAGCTTCTGAGTGTCGCAGGCAGCGCAAATATGGGAGCGTGAAGGATCTTTTGTACAGTTGTCCGTCTATGAGGACGTACTTGGCTGATCGACGCTCTAACCTCCGAGCCGCATTGCATTCTGCAGGTAGGGTCCCGTGGAGCAGATAAACAGCAAGTGGGTCGATCCAGCTCAGTTCCGCTTGCGA